GATCAGCAGGTGTCTACCAGCCAGAAGACGCGTGGGAGGTGAGAGAACGGCTTTGGGAGAGAAGCGGACCCTGAAATCTCACACACACAAAACTGCAAATCCATCGGGAGGCAAGTCCTGTCACGATTGCTGGTGTGTATTTTTTTAAAAATATGTTTGAAGTTCAAAAAATCTTCCAATTTTGCAAGTTTGTCTGGAAAGCAAAGTTGCGGATAAAGGTTTGGGTGTTTATTTACTTTATTCTTTAAAATATGTTTTTTTTTTTAAAGTTTCATTGGGATTTCCTGATTTCCTTGGACATGTTCCAACATTGTTTGGAAAGAAAAGCTGTTGACAAAGATTAGGGACTTGCAAATTTAATATGCCCAAGGAAATGCGACAAAACAATCAAACAAAAGAACAATTGTGACAAGACTTTGCCATTCTCCCCCCTCCCCCCATGGCCTGTGCAGTCTTTTTTTGTTGTTTATTTGTTTCTATTTTTCCTTGGACATTCAAATTTTCCAATATTGCAATTTTGAACATTGTCTGGAAAGCAAAGCTGCTGACAAAGACTGGAGTCAAACACACCTCATACAAGTTATGAGGGGACACTGGCAACAAGTTTTTGATTGAAACATATTCAAAAACGCGCCCCTCTCACTCCTTTCTGTAAAAAAACATCTTGCAACCTCAGAACTGCGCTTCACTTCAAGCACCAAAAATCCCTAGACTAGAAACATTATATAGCGTCGGAAAACACAAGCAGGCAACTCACTGGACATTGAGGCCTTACCTTCAAAGCAACTGGAACTGCCGGCAAAGTTTCAGAATCATTCAGAATCTACATTTCCTTTCTTGAGGTGAGCTTTTCCAAAGTGTGTGCAGTACAACCACGCTGCAAGGCTTTTGTTAATTGACACTTAATTCGTGAACCAAGCGCAATGGAGGTGTAGGTGATCACCATCATCGCGCCAATGTCAGCCCGCTTAATCAAAATGTCCCACCACCAATATTGCGGCTCATAGCCCTGAATGAAATACCTGAAGCAAAAACGGCAGAAGCATGAACGAACCAAGGCAAACCGCAAATATGCACACACAACTGCACAAACAATAAACAACACATTCAAGAAGGTGAGCGTCAATGAGTCAAAATTATGGTGAGGTACCCATATTTCCGGTAATTCTCCGGAGTTTGCCTGTCCTCCAAGCTGACCAGCCTCACCGCCAATGCAATTGGAATCCCCACGCACCAGCCAAGCAGTCCGCAAATCGCAACGGCAGCTGATGGGAGATGATCGCTGGACCCACAACGCACATCTGGGCTGGGCAGCAGTCGACTTACAACCGTCTCATCCTCCAAGATAGGCACCTTTGGTTCAGGGCCAACGCAAAAGACGTTTCACCAAAGTTCCGCAAATAGGTTGCTCGCAGGCGAGGTGTTCTTGTGGCAAGTGCCAGGCAGGGTTCGTAAGGTTTGCGTCTGTGGCTCCACTGTTGTTGCTCACTGACCTTCACGTAGTCTTCATGGTCGACATGGCCTTGTTTGTGGCAGGTGCGGGAAATTAGCTGTCCTGGGTCATGGCTGTTTGGCGACTGCGCTCTTGGTCACTTTTCGTGAGATGCGACAAAGAAACATCATGTTTCGGCGGTCTCATTTCGGCTTTTCGTGGCAGCAGCTTTACTTGGATGATCTTGATGTGCAAATCTTGTGGCATGTTGGCAGGTGCAGTGATTCATGATTCTAAACGCACTGGCGCAACGCGAGCCTGCAAGTGCAGTTTTAAATGCCGGCCGCAGCACGCTGTGACGCTTTAGCATGCCGCGAAAAATTGCAACGTCAACCATGAGGATAGTTTGGTGCAGGTTTTTTACAAGGTCGGCCAAAAAGGAGCGACAGATGCGAACCCTGCCACAAACCCTGCTCTAAACAGGCCGTAAGAATTTCTTGGTTGCAAGCAACTTGTATGTGGAAAGACCCTCTCACCATGTCGACAATGTCTAGGTCAGTTTCAGCCAGGGCACACACCACAACATTTGCAGAAATTGAGATAAAAGTGCAGGCCACAAAGATAGAAACCCAATCCACACAATGGGCAAGCTCTGAATCACTAGCTTTGACAGTGGGGCTTTGGGCGAGAACAAGCCAAAGTCCAACGAATCCATGGAGTTGTCTTCTTGCGACACTGGAGCTTCTGGCTTCTCTTCAGCCAAGTTGACTTCCGCCGCTTTCCTTCGGAAGCTGGGAACCATTCCAACACAAGATCGGCTCAAAACATCCCCACCCCCATGAGGGGAAAAACTTTCCATTGTAACTTACATTTTCCAGGCAAGACGTAGAACATGTAACATTAATATTACATTTTCCAGGTACCAACATGCCAGAAATGGCCTAAACTAACAAACATGTAAGTTACATTATTCAGGACAATGTAAGCTACAATTTTGGGCCGCATGGGAAAGCATGCACAAATTGCGCAAACATGTTACATGTTAATTTTGGCTTGTCCCAGGTTCTCAGCTAACACTTTCTTTTTAGGTATGTCCGTCTTGAGGCTTATCTTCTTTCTAGATGTTGTTTCTCTATATAGATTTGCTGGTGCTCTCCCGAATTTTGGCCCAGCTTACGTTTTCTCTTTAAAGTAGGCATGTCCTTCTTCAGGTTTATCTCCTTGCTAGCTATTGTTTCTCTAGATTTGCTGGTGCTCTCCCAAGTAATCCCAGGTTTCCAGCTGACTTTAAACATATGTAGGTATGTCCTTCTTAAGGCTTATCTCCTTTCTAGCTGTTATTCTCAGATTTGCTGGTGCTCTCCCCAATTTTGGCTGATCCCAGGTTCCCAGCGTACACTTTCTCTTTAAAGAAAACGGGTATGCCCTTCTTAAGATATATCCTTAAGATTAATATAGGTATGCCGTTCTCACATCCAATCATTCTAAGTTACATTTATGTAATCTATATTTACAGGGGGTACTTGGACCTCAATAAATGCAAGTTACATTTTTCCACCACCCCCTCCGTCTCTGTGTTTGTCTGTCTTCTCTGTCAGTGTTTCCCCAGATTCGCCCAGGGATCTCCAGTCAGCGCATGTCTGGGAAAAGGGGGTCATAATGTAACTTTGAAGCCTTCTATGCCTTTGCTATATATGTTTTAGTAATGTCCAGCCACCCCTCCGCAAAAGCATGCAAAAGCTATGAAACTGGACTGGGGGGGGGGTAAGTTACATTATGTTACATTTATCATCCCCCCAAAAAGGCAAGTTACAATAGAAAGGTCCCCCCTGTTTTTGGTGCTTAAGGGGGTGGTGATCTCAAAACGAACTGTCACAGCATTCTAGCCCGAACCCACTCTCAAGTTCCTCATCCAAGAATCGGCTGATGCACAGGCGAAACACTGATGCGTGCCTCATCGTCGTCTGATGAATCAGTCTGAGGGCCTGCGTGGGACGGAGAAAGGCAAAACTAATGTTCGTTTTGCATTCAGAGGCATCTCAAACCGAAGAACAAGTGCCCGAAAGACCAAACTTTGTACGTATTAACCAACCATTCAACATGACGGCTGAACCAAAATCCTGAACGAGCATGATAGCAGGCTCAACGAAGTAACATGTATATTTGTATAATGTATATAAAACTACATGTGGACAAAGGACTTGAAAGGTTGCTGCACGCCTCGACCCATTCTTTTTGAGTTCATTGCGTGCAGTTCAAAACAGAAACAAACCAGGAGACTGAACGACGCCAACTGCGAACCACTGGGTCGAACTATTGAAGACAACTCTACAGGGAAGGTGTGTGACGTGTGGCGTAGTGAAGACCGTTGTGGTATTGAGCCATTGAGCTGCGCACTTTAGCTGCCCGTCTCAGGCAAGCCAGACTGAATCATCATGGGATGTGCGGTGTTCCAGGAACACTGCTAGTCACGTGCTTTGTTTTGCAACATGTGTCGGCAAACTTTGCAAATAGCAATCGATTTGAAGGCACAGCTGCAAATATCGCACTTGAGCGTGTTTTTGAATCAGTGTTTTCAACCGGTGCCTTCAAGAACACACTAAACAGCGGTACTCCGTGCTTTGTGCCTTGCCAAAGTATCGTGCAACCCTTTTGGCCTCTGAAGTGCAACAACAAACTCCACAAGTGTGCAAGTTGTATACAAAGAAAACAAATGCCATGCGCTGGCGGGCCACTGATTCGGGCCACTGATTCGCTTATGTATATATATATATAATCGGGGTTGGTATTAAGTGGGTACCTCGAAAGGTGTGATTTTATAGTGCTAAAATGCTGGGACCAACCCCCCTCCAATGAGGGTCACTTTTTGACCTATAAAATTGAGGATAACATAGGAAAAGAGCCCAAATACAAGATTCAGCTCTATTGAGGGTTTTTGTCTATAAAACTGCAGGTCCCAAGGTACTCCCGAACAGGTGTTGTCGAGTTGTAGTCTGAACCTGGTTCTCTGTAGAATCAAGGGCCATGGGTCTCAAAAATATCTATTAAACACCTGTTTCTGTATAGAATCAAGGTCCATGGGTCTCAACAAAACATAAAACTCCAATTTCATTGGAAGGTATTGATTTGCCAGTTGGTAGGACCACAAATCTATAGAGAAGACAGCAGGTGTTATGGAGAGGATTGGAGAGGTAAGGATCTGTGATGATCTCTGATTTTATAGTGTCCAGATGTGTCCAAAATGCTGTCCCCAAATCATCCACTTCTCCCCTGTCCCAAGTCATCCCAAGCCGTCCAGAGGCTGCAAATGCCTGCAAATTGTTTTCCATTCCCCAGGGTTCTTTTGAGCAATCCCAATTGGAATCAAGCCAAGAAAAAGCAATCTCTAAAGAATTGCAGGTCATGACATCCAAAATCATACAAATCATTCTCTATAGAATCGGTATGCCCAAGACATCCAAAATCCCTTCACTATACTTACAAGCCTCTATAGAATCAAGCTTGTAAAAAACAACAATTCTCTATAAAATCGAGGCTCTTGAAGGACAGGACTTTACAAGCTCCATATGAGCCAAGAAAAAGTGGCTAAAAAAATGGTCTTATCGGGGACCCAACCCCCGCGATTCTATAGAGGAAATACCATCCCCTATTATATATATTTGCTGTTGCCCTGTCATGTGTCATAATTTGCTGCTGTCTCTTGTCGAACTGGATTGTGATTTTCGTTTCTGAGTTTCAGACTGGGAGTCAAATGAGCTGTGACTCCGAGGGATCAAACAGTTCAGGAGGAATCAACAACAGATCTGTTTCTCCAGTTTTTCCGGATTCTGAAAAAACTAGCGTAGAATTCATTGGTAGATACAGTGTGAGTACTACAGTAGATTAGGAAGATCAAGAAGGGGGTGCCTGGAGAAAACCTGGGTAGGATCCATGCCCGAAGATTGCAAAGACTTGTTCTCGAGGCAATCTCGAGGCAATAGTTGCGTTCCACTTCTTAGCAGCGTTCGAATATGTTCGAATCACTTATATAGATCATCGACGATTTGTATGACCTGCCTTCACAAAAACAACAAAAACACACACACACACACATCAGGGCGCATTCCCTTCTACTTGCAAAACTTGACTTTGGGGGCCAACCCCAGAAACAATCATGGAAAGCACAAATCGTCTCACCGCAACCTTGCCCAATATTATCATATCGAAAAAAGGGGCTTGAGGCAACTCGTTTTGATTTTCTGTCTACTGACCTCTGCAGAAGAACGGGGTACCTTCTAGGCTGGGTTCAGGGGTCACATGAATTCATTTCCACCAACGACTCCAACGAGGGCCATACCGTTCGCATGACACTCATTCAGCACAGAGGATTGTGGAGTTTTGCTGGAGAAGGGTGCCGAAAGTTCCTTATCATGCTGCTCGTCCCCGAATACTCTAGCCAACAACCTGGCCGGCTGGAACAGTGCCTGTTATGGGTCCATCATCACCCAGACCAGCGTCTCTCAGCTCTCCATTTTCGTCTTCTTTCCTGCAAACGATGCCCGGTGGTGTAAATAAAACGCCGCAGCATCCCATCTACTTATGAAGCGATCAAAAGCATTCAAAAGCAATGTATAGAATGTCAAAAGGGTCATTCAGATTCAGTTATCAATCGCATCTATTGAGACAAGCGTCGGAGGGTTTGCAACCGGTTCCCTATTTTGTTCACCCCTTTGGTTGGCTCGAGATATGACGTTGTCAAGCAAAGCATTGAAATCTTCGCAATCGATCAAATCCGAGATCTCAATTCGAGAGATCTCAGCCTCGCTACATTTGGTCAAGGAAGAAAGCTCCGATTCCGCAGCCCTGAGTTGACAGGCTTTCAAAAGCAACGCTCTATTCGTCGTCACTGCTTTTCGCAGGAAAATGTTTGGCTCGGCACAGGCTTCCTCCAAAGCGGACAAAATCATATCGAAAACTCCTGACTGCTGGATCTCATCCCATGATAGGCCAGAATCTGCTAACAGTGGCACCAAAGCATCTTGCAGTCTGCTCACAGCTTTTTCCCTTGCCTTCTTGTTCTTATCCGCCTGGTTGAACACAATGCCACGCTGATTCGCAAGTGGCACAAGACCATGTACAACAACATATGAGAGGACTATAATGCCAACTGTCAGTAGAGGCGGAAGGCAGATTGAGTATATACCTGGGGCCATGTTCCTCGCGGTAAGATCGCCCGGAAACAAATCTTCAGCTGCGCAAGATGCCCCTAAATCCACAGAAACCAGAACAGGTTGCAGCGAGAGGAAATGAAAAATTGTTCTCATTGCGCGTGTGATTTCTGGTGGCCAGCTCAAGGTTTGAAAAGCCTCATCCTGGCCCTGGCTAGTTCTGGAAAAGCTCAAAATACGCAGTTGGTCAAAGCGAAATGTCGCAATAACAGAGCAAGCAGCAAGCCACTGGCTTCCAATGCGAATCATGCTTGTGTGCAGCTTGCTGCTGCCCCGCACTGCGGCAGTAGCTGCCAACGACGCAACAATACCTGAGCGAGCGCATTACAAATACCTTGCCTATAGCAATGCACAAAATGAGCCTAGTAATGATTAGTAATATCCAGTACTAATACTGGCTACCAAGCGAGTGGGGAAACCCAAGCCAGTTTTGCTGAAATTTGCTTAGATACAGTTGATGCACGCCTTGGAAACCACGTCAGCCAGGATGAGGAAAAACAGGCCCACCGCACCATTTGGGCAAGGTTCGCACGGTTCTTGGAGAGATGGTCTTGCCCACCCTGCAGGGCATTCCCCGCACAGCATCCCTGTGGAGCCTTCAGCGCATAGGTTCCCATATTTTCCGACGCATTCGGAATTGAATGATCCAACAGCTTGCTTGACCTGACACAGCACGTCACCTCCAAGGCAGGAACGCAAGCTGTGCAAACCAGCGATGTATCTGCTCCAACCACACCACTCCACCTGCCATGGGGACATTTCTGGCACGGCATGTTTCCCACATCGATCTTGAAGTGACCTGCTGGGCAAGCAGTGCAGGAACCGTCCTTTAAATAAACACCAGTAGAGCACACGCAGTGGGATTTATTGCCAGAGGTGTCCTGCTCAGTCGTATGGTTGGCCGGGCAAGCTTGTCTGTGCGACTCTCCATTGCAAAAGAATCCAACACCACATGCCTCACATGCTGCAGGGTTGCTGGGCTGCGTGTTGACAAAGCCAGGCATGCATGTGCAAGATGTCAGTGACACAGCACCATCTTCCAGGGTTGTTGACCCTGTGGGGCATGCAATGCATGCACCCATATTCCAATAGTATCCCTTCTGGCACGCGCATTGAGACAAGTCACCTGAGCAAATGCAAGTGTTTTTGTTGAGTTTCAACACCTCTGGCATGCATGCTCGTGACATTTTTCCCCGACAGGTCCTCTTTTGAGTCTGGACGAAAGGTTGGTAGGTGGATGCTTTGTTTGCATGCGTCGTGGTTTGGCAAAATGTGTCCAATTCGCATGACATAATAGGTTCCAACGTTGCAGTTTCGTGTTGTATAGGCTTATAATATGGTGGAGGTTGCTTCGATTTCACTGCGCAGGTGCAGGAACTTGTGCCATTTACAGAGTTGTGCAACTGGCCTCCGACCCATTTTAAGCTGTGGCGGTGCTGCCTTTTTCAATGTACTGTATGTCAATGTGTAGTAAATTAAAGCCACCTGCGAATTCTTACGGCAGTTGCTACGTCGTGTGCAACTCCGGAGGCTGGGGGATGATCCCTTCATATCCCTTCATATGAAACTGGCAATAGGTCGCAAACGTTTGATTATGAGATGTTGCTTTGGAATGACCCATGGTCGAAGTGGGTCGACTCATTTGATGCTGAATGCGTCAGGGCCAACCTCAGTTGCATGTGCCCCTCACTGCTGGCAGTACTGTAATGTTGATGGAGCCCGACAACGTTCGTAGCACTTTTGACTAATCCGCCATCAAGGACAAACAAACAGACCGACAAACATCCGATAGACCGACAGAGGGACAGTCAGGAAATCTAGCGAACAATAGCCACGGGGACTTGGGAAAGGCGATGGCAACTTGCAAACCGACAGACTTTGCAATGCCGTCAGAAAGCAACGTGGGCCTCAAAAGATGGACTTAATGCTACAGCATGCTACAGCCAGAAAGCGTAATATACTGTGCAATTTTTGCATTCCGGCCACCAGCCCGGCCACGGGCACCGGCCCCGGCCCGGGCACCGGCCCGTCACCAGCCACCGGCCCGCCACCGGCCAGTGGGCACCGGCCACCGGTCAACGGCCACGGGTGAGAATGACATGACTTATTCAAAACGCGAATCAAAAACGGCTACATGAAACCTATGAACGTGAGGTGTTAGAGCAATGCTGTCTAATTGTGCCTACGGTAGCACGCAGTGTCTTCGGCATTAAGAATGCATCTCCGCATTGGGAAGGCTCTCACTCGCGCGCGCAAAAATCATCTCACTCACGCGCGCATGACTCACTTGCGCGCGGAGCGACTCAATGGCACCTTCCTCCTCTACATTGACCTTGGGTGGCTCACACAAGGTATGCGCCGGTGCCTTCCTCCTCTAAAATTTACTTGGGGCAAAAGGTCTGCGCCGTTGGAATGCAACCTTCCTCCTCTAAATTGTGCCCTCTGATGGCTCACAAAAGGTATGCACCGGCGCCTTCCTCCTCTAAATTTGGCCCCGGGGTAGCTTACAGACTTACAGAAGGTATGCGCCGTTGGGCTGGCACCTTCCTCCAAATTTTGCCAGCGGACAAAAGGTGTGCGCCGTTCGAATGGCACCATCCTCATTCCCCCTTTACATCTTTTCACTAGGGTAGCTCACACAAGGTAGGTATGCACTGGCGCCTTCCTCCTCTAGATTTGACCCTGTGGCTCACAGCAAAAGATATCTTCATCAACATTTTACGCTGGGTTAGAAGGTGTGCGCCGTTGGAACGCCACCTTCGCCTTCGTCCTCTAAGTTTTACCATCCGATGTCTCACAAAAGGTATGCACCGTTGGACTGGCTGCATCCCTCGAATTCAATTCCACAAATCCAATCTCCGCTGGTAGTCCTTGGATGTTGGGCTCCGCACTTCCAGACATGTCAAGACAAGGAAAGTGTCAAGCGACATCCTGCCTTCTCAACAGTCGTCTCTCTTTGTTTCCCTGTTTTTTTTTTGAACGCCGTGTGACACACTCTTCAACAAGATTGGACCTTTCAGAGAACCAACCAGTCGAGCCGCGGGGATAATTGGGTAAGGGAAAATCAGCACTGTTCCACTCTGAAGGGATCCATCTGGTGTGACACTTCGAAACAAAGCGCAAATTTTTCGAAGGACATGGTGGCCCGATCTGGCGCGACCCTAGAGGCAAATTGTCACAAAGGAAGAGAAGCCCTTGCCCAAGTTCCGGATTGAGTGCTCAATAGCCTAAACCAAAGCCAGTCATGGCGCCCCCATGGACAAGACCACGCGACGCTCCTGCTTCCAAATGCCAGGATGAGCTTCATGAAAACCCCCGTCACTGACCTCATGCAGGATGTCACCAAAAGAGAAGCTATCCAGACCCTCAAGGTTCTCCCCGTCTAGCCTAGCAACCCTCCAGCTTTTGCAGCGGGGTCGGGCGTCAACGGCTTCTCCAGACCTAAATTTTCAACCTTCGGATTGCGAGCCAATGCCTCCCACATCCTCTCACCAAGTCTCTTTCAAGGACCCCTTGACAAACACCGTCTCCAACCTTATCCACAAGGAGAAAACATCCGATGGCTTTGAAAAGGGGCAAAAGGCCAGCTATCCACTCCAACTCTCTATGGACTGAAGGCAAGAGCCTGGCTGCTTAAGTCTTGTTTTGGTGGCAAAAGGCGTTCTGCCTCTTCGTGCGCTTTGAGACTAAGCGCTCTCAGACGCTTGGCAATCTTGTTGAGGCCTGCGTTGACGACCGTGGTGGGCAGCCGATGACTGCAAGATTGTCAACGTATACCGCAACTGCGACATCTCCAACTGTTTGAAGTTGCACCAGATTACTCTCATCGCTGATCACATCTTTCACCTCGAACCCACAACTTTTAATACTGTTCATCAACGCATCCTGGCAAAGCGAAGCCCCCAGCCCAACCCATTGGGAGTACAGTCAGGTAGGGGATGACCCGAGTGCCCGGCCTCACCGAAGCCTCAACAGCTGGACCAAGTCATCAGTACTTGTAAGGTATATAAAGCATTGGCAAGGTCACCAGAACCAATGTGGAACTGACTACCTTCGAGGATCTCCAGACATGTAAAAGAGTCCGCGGGGGGGAGGTCAGTACATCAATGAAGCGCTGGTTGACGACCCGGTGTCAGAGATCAAGCGTTGCTTTCCAGTCTTCTTTGCAAAGAAAATCCCAAGAGCTGGTTGTTGATCTTGTTGTTCGTGCCAGCGCACCCAAAAACCAATCTCCGTCTGTGAAGCTCTCGAAGAGAACCTGCGTACTCCTGTTTGTTGTGCTTGGGAATGGGATCGATATAGGGTTTCACTGGCCTGTCATCCCTACAGGTCTAAACATTTTCCCGCCAATTCGCAGGCCATTCATGGTCGGCCAGGCCAAGGCAGTCTTCCAAGGGGGCAGGGCGACTGGTGGCCTCAAGCCAAAACACTAGTGCGGCCCTACGTCACTGCGATCAACTTGGTAAAGCCGCGACGAAGAGCACAAAATTTGCGCTCTCCCAAACGTCACCAACCTGGACCAATGCTATCAACACACCAGTCATGATATGAGTCGGAGATGTGCTGCAAAATCCCACGCTGTGCTCGAGCAGGCTTTCGTTTTGAAAAGTCAACGTTGCCGAGGGCCGCCAGGAAGACCGTCCCCATCAACTGCTCCTCCGAGACCAAACTGAGGCATGCGTGACAAAATTGACCAGCGTGAAACATCGAAGACCCCGCGTGACGCTGCATAGATGTGCCCGGTGCCAAAAAGTGTCACTCTCGTATTCTGCACTTGGTCCTACTCCAATCACCAACACTCCAATAGCCACCAACCAGGTAAGTAAGCTGAAATAATGGGAGGACAGGTCAATGACCCACAGGTAACCACACAAGCGGGACACTCTTCAGAGGATCGGAAAACCCCCAGAACGTCACACGTAGCGATCCCAATGGCGACACCAACAAGGCGAGAAGCTACCAAAAATCCCTGAGTCATTGATCTTGAGCAGGGGAACGCAAAGTGAACAGCAAGAGCTCACTTTCATTCATGAAGTACATTCAAATAGAACAAACACGGTATATCAATCTTTGGTCCCCGAGCAGGCTGCTGAAGCTACTCCTTTGCTTCGCAAAGCAAACTCAAGGTAGCCCTTACCAGGCTACCTTTCGTGACCACCAGAACCTTGAGAAAACTCAAGAACATTAAAAAAAAAAAAACATTCAGAAAACACGCATACAATTGTTTCCACAAATCTTGGAACATGAGAGGAGTCCAGCCAAGAGTCTCTGACGATTCCTTTTTTTTCCATGGTTTTTCCTCACCAAAAACCCGAGAAAACTCAACAACCAAAAGCCTTGAGAAAACCAAACAATATCTCACAGAAGTCTTGGAAAATGAGAGGAGTCCAGCCAAGAGTCTCTGAGGATTGTTCTTGCTTTTTTGTTTTCTTTATTTCGTTGTCCTATGGTTTTCATTTTGCAATCATCCAAATGTTCAATGACATTAATTACAATTCATATAGGTTAAGTCTATTGGAAACCAAGGTGCCACGTTGCTCTGAGTGCAAACCTCACATTATGATCTAACTTACTTCTGGATGCTCGCGACTGCTCAACATTCTTGCCGCAATAAAAACCTGGGGTTCACGCTGGCGTTAGGTGGCGTGGTGCTTGCGTAAGGGCAAGGCTTCTCCTCCGCATCCACTCCTCCAGGGCAATAATGGCCCGATGAACAATGCTGGCAGGAACTTTGCAAAGCTTCCTGATGCTCGTGCATGCCAGGCGGGCATACGACCTGCAGTTGGACAGCAATGGCACGGAAATCCTCAGGCGCGCTGCACTGATGAGTTTCTGGGCACCAGCACACCTCCACCACCTCCGGCGGACCAGTCAGGCTAACAAACCCCAAGTCCAACCCAAATAAGTTGAGCTTAGATTTGTTGTCCAAACTTGACAGATTGGAAGTGGACTGAATGACAATGGGCCGCTGGCCGAAGCTAACCGTTGCTTCTGCTGCGCCACATTTCTTCGTGGCCACCACATGATCTCTGCTGGAAATTCCGACCCCTCGCCAAAACACAATGCAATGAGACCCCAGTACACATTGGCTTTGCTGGTTGGAATATGGTCCTTCCACAATGAAAAAGCCAAAGGACTGCGTGCATTCGACCGCTTGCGAGCACAAACACAAACGGTAGTCACCCGGTTCCACAAACAAAAGTGATGAGTTTGCAGCGTCTCTCAATGCGAGCTTGTTGTCATCCGAGGCCCAGCCTTTCAAAACAATGTCAAACTCCTCTGAACAAGTTTGCTTCACTATCAAGGAAACGCTGGTCTGAGTTGCACTGTTGAGAAAACATTCGTGGCCCAGTTGACAACTTGCAACCATCAGTGACTGTAGTGGGGATGAAACATACCGCCAAACCTCGGACAAGTAAGTGGTGTTGAAACCTCCAAAGGTGAACAGCGCAGGCGCCTCAGAATCCCACACAACTGCATGGCCCACACGGCCAGATCCTAAGGAAGAGTGCGCACTCCAGGTGTTCGAGAGCAAGCTGTAGCTGGTGAAACTCGAATCATAACCCAAACTGCCGGTGTTGGTGTTGTTTTCAATACCTGCCAAAACCAGCATAGACATGGACACTGGATCCCAAGCAGCTGCATGCCCAGCTCTTGCATGTAGCGCTGAACTCGGGAAGAGTTCAGTCCACCTGTCCCCCCACGCATCATAGTGGTGGAGATCTGCTAGGTACTTGACTCCACTCCACCCACCAAGAACCAACATGGAAAACGTAACGGAGTCCCAAACTGCCGTGTGTCCGCTTCTTGGGCTGGGCCCTTCTGCGCCAGATGTGCTCCAAGAGTTGTCACGCATGTGGTAAAAATGCAAATCGGTCAACATAATGCCATTTTCACCACCATAAACAATCATGACCTGGTTCTTTTGGTCAAAAACGGCTGAATGCTTGGCGCGCCCAGCTGGCGAAGGGCTCATGACAAGATTCCAGGAGTTCATGTGCAACGTAAACAGCCAAAGGTCCGCGTAAAACACACCAAAATACTACCCGCCGAAAATGAACATCGACCCAGAAATGGAATCCCAAATTGCTGAATGGCCTGCCCTTTTGTCTGGGGCAGGGCTTGTGGGGAAGAGTTGCATCCATGTGCGAGAGCTCCACATGTAACGCCACAGGTCATTGAAGTAAAGGAACTGGCCACTGGCGTGTCCTCCAAACATCAGCGCTGACTCGCTTGCAGAATCCCAGATTAATGTGTGGTCTTGGCGTCCAGAAGGTCCTGAAATGGAGAAATCGACCCAGGCATCCAACTCACAGTTGACGCCTGCACCGCGTTGTGCTCAACGCAACTTAGTTGAAACAGGGCCCAATCAATCGCATACAGCACATACACGCAAATAAACAAAACACACACACACGTACATATATATATATATATATCTGTGCGTGTGTGTGTGCACATATGCGTATGACTTCACACATGGTGTCATCACTCGTGTGGACCTGTGGAACGCAATTCTTCATAGCTCTCCACACTAGTTAATGGTTTTGTGTTTGCTATGTTGCCACTTCTGCTTCTAACGCCGCAGTGTAATTTTCATCTTGGTGGTCATCGCCGACCTCGCTGTTGCTGTTGTGGTTGTTGTTGTTGTTGTTGTCCTTTGGTGGGTGTTCCTTCACAAGACTCAGCGCAACTAGTCCAAGCCGGCCACGCAGACCCGGACAAGGCCCAAACAAGACTGAGACCAGCCCTTCTTCCGAACAGAGAACTCCAACAGTACACTGTGTGGCGAACAAGGGAAGGACACAGGGCTCACAGCGCGGCCAAACGACAGCAGGAGGGCGCCAAAAGGACAAACTTCAGGGGCGCGGCAGGACAGGAGGACACCAGGAGGACAAGAGAAGGACAGGCTTTAAATCAGAAGATACTATATAAGAAGCGCAAGCCGGCAACTCATGATCCCACCATAGCTACAACCCCTCGCCCTAACCGGTTCAACCCGAGCCATCCCGAGCCACAGCCACCCAAATTTTGCATAATGAATTCGTTAATTACTGTAATGTGTACGTAGCCAGATCCTGGCCGCTAGAATGAAGTTCAGCGCGCCAAACCACCCCCATGAACATTTATACGGTTGAAAGGAACAGCTATGGGTTGAGGTCGCTTCCCGACGATAACCATCAATCCCTTAGGCCCGAGACATCTTCACGTCGAGGTGTCAGAAACCGGAGAATGACGCTGTCCGGGACCCAGGTATAGCAAGGTCCTAGAGAAGTGCGTATACACGCAATGTATCAATTTCATGAGCATACGATTTCGACTCCCTTGAAATTGCATATCTTTTTCAGGGCCCTACCATTCAACCATGCTCTAACTAGTCGTCACTTGTTATCATTTTGTGTTCCCCTTGTCTGCGGCTTCGCTACGCATCTGGGGTTGTGCCGTTTCTTTTTTTGGCTGCACTGTGCCACGGCATCCACACGTCTTTCACTCAAACACTGCTGGCACATCAGCATTGGAATAAGTGGCCGGTGTCTGCTATCTTGCGTCTTGAAACCTCTTTTGCAACATGCGCCTGCGTAAGCATTCTTTGGAATCCGTAGTGCAAAACTGAACTTGAAACATGCTGCTTGGTAAGCCTTCGGCAACTTTTGAACACACGTGTTGATTAGATTATGCGCGCCCCGCTGAGCAGCCTACGAGGCGCCAAGTTTGTCGTTTGTGTCAAGACCTCAGCTTTGCGCAGGCGGTCCTCATTGGTTTAGGACATAATGTAGGATCGTGATTAGTAAAGGAGGTCCCCGTTGGTCAACCACTTGGGAAGCTTACAAGTAAAGATTAGCCAGCTTCTAATTAAACATGACCAAGTAAGACTGGAAGCTTACAAGGACAAATATCTACAACAAAATGAACACACGAGACACGCGACAACACAGGAAGCTTACAAGTACACATTGCGTTTCTACAGTTGCACTTCTCCATACGGTGCTTCAAATCGGCCTTGTAGACTTGCAAGTGCCATGCGTGACACTGCTACTACTACTACTACTGCTGCTGCTACTGCTACTACTATATCTACTACTAAATCTACTTCTACTACTACTACTAATACTACTGCCACAACAACAACAACAACCACTACTACTGCTACTGCTAGTATTAGAAATACTACTACTACTACTGCTACTGCTACTTGTACTACCAGTACCACTATCACTACCACTACCGCTGCCCCTACCACCACGACCGCAGCTCCAAACCTTGCCTGCCACCACTCTTGCAACGCAGTCATGGATGTTCCAACCTCTAAAGGTGCAGTTGCGAAGAGTCTGCTCGTTGCCCAAGCAATTCACCTCGTCTACCAAAATAGAGGGTAGTTCCGCCTCACCTGTTCTGTTTGTATACGCAGAAAAGGCTCCGCCTCCTGCCATGCCCAAATCTTTGCAAGCTGCAACAGCAGCCATGTCATTCCAGTCATCGTCACACACAAGGCCCCACAAACCATTGTACATTACTTCAAGCCGACCACTTTCTCCCAGTCGCAGGCCTTCCATTTGAGCAAGAGTTGGGGTGACAAAAACTTCCGTCGGAACCAAATTCATCCCCATCTCCCCAACTTCATCGCCAACTGAGGTAGTGCTTCCCGTCCCACGCTCTCCATTATCACTTCGTCCCCAGCACCTAACGGTGTCATCGCTGAGCAACGCACACGTGTATCCCCAGCCAACTGCCACTTGCTCAACTTCAAGATTGTCTAGGTCGATGGGAGGCAAACTAGATTCGGAGAATGCAACGTCGTCGACGCCCCCCTGGCCCAACTGGCCATGCGCCCCTGAACCCCAGCACTTCAAGGACCTGTCCTGAAGAATCGCGCATATGTGGGAACCAGCCGCATAAAGACCACCGTCAACCGTCAAAGGTCCTGCAACGATGTGGACAGCATGCATGCCGTTGCCAAGTTCAATGCAACCATCACTATAAATACCGGAGAGCCTGTTGTCCAGACCGTAAAAATAGTCACCATTGCCACTCTGCCAGCACTTGGCGCAGCCATCCTCAAGTACCACGCAACTTTCTATCCCACCCGCAGTGATCTGAATGGCTTTACTGCCAAGGGTAACAAGGTTACCTTCAGCTTGAACGGCATTTTCCCAACATTTGACAAACCCATTTGAAAACAATGCGCAAAGGTGCATCTCGCCAGCCGCGAGCTGTGCAACCGACATGTTGCCAAGATCGAATGCGCCCACCCACGTCGCCCCGGAGCCCCAACACTTTACCGTTCCATCATCAAGCAAAGCACAACTGAACTGCCACCCTGCAACAACTTGCGCAGCTTTTGCCTTACCAAAATCAATCGTGTCACCGGGCGTGGCACCATAGCCATCACCCCAGCATTTCACGGCTCCGCTGTGAAGTATCGCACAAGTGTGTCTCGCGCCACATGCAACTTGCAAAGCACCCTCGCCCAGTTCTACAAAAGGAAACTCTCCGCCCATTTCAAAGGGTTCGTCGCCGATATTTGCTTCGCTGTTGTCTTCCTCCTGGCCGTAGCCGAGCCAAGGCCCGCCCCGCCCCCAACATTTCACTTGCCCGGTGGACATGAGCACCGCGCAGCTGTGCTGCTCACTTGCTGCAAGGGTCAAATATGGTTGCAAACCCGTTTGAGGCCACACATAGATCGAATCTACTGCCACCTCGGCATTCGAGATTGCGCCAGATGTGCAAACAAAACGTACCCTTTGGGCCTTTTTTGGGATGGTTTTTTTCTCATGCAACCATCTGCCTTGGTTGCCTCGTTTGTGCCACCGTTTCCACCAGCGGCCATCGCTCCAATAGAACAATTCTAGGGCAGTTGTGCTGTCCCCTTCCATGAAGTAAGCAAACTCCATGTAGAGGCCAGAGGTCGCAATAAACATAGGGCTCGTCAACTTCGCCTGCCGCAAATTGAGCATGGCAATGGGGAGACACATGCATCAAAACTATATACAAATATACTATATATATAGCAAATGTTGTATACACGCGCATGTTCTGAACACAGCATTGCGTAAATATTTTACCCATCCTTGTGAAAATTAACATGGTGGTCTTGGGCTTGGGCCACCCATTTTAATACAAAATCAGGAGGTGGGGGGATGATGCCAGTTGAAGCTTGCTCACATAGTTCATGAAGTCGCACAAAGGAAACATTGATATAGTGTCTCAGAAACTGAAAACGTCCCGCTACCGGAAAACGGTATCAATGAGTGGAAGTGCGACTGTAGGATGAACTTGTAAAAACACATTTGCAGGGCAATGCGCTGCTTCAGCCGTTTTGTAAAGACTCAATGATTGAACCCCCACTCACACGCACACAGGTATTGCCGTATGTTCACCAGCGCAAACTGACAGAGAAAACTAGACGACGAGTGGCCCGAAAGCATTTTTCATCACGTAGGAAGTCAGAGTGTGAGTTATCTGTTAAGTGTTCAGTGTGAAGTGTTTAAGTCGAGTGAGTTGAGGTAGTGTGAGGGTCTCTGTGTGTGTATCTATGTCCGTGTGTATATGAGTCTGTGTATGTGTGTGTGTTCGAGTAAGTTGAGGCAGTGCGTGGGTCTCTGTGTGTGATGCGGCCTCCCAAACCGCCCACCGGCGGCCAAGCGGTGACAGCCCAGTTGAGCTGCTGGTGAGGGGAGAAGCAGCGTGCA